GGAGGGGGTGGCACTCCCATGCCTGGCAATGGAGGAGGTGGCGGAGGGGGTGGCACTCTCATGCCTGGCAATGGGGGTGGCAGAGGAGGGGGTGGCACTCCCATGCCTGGCAATGGAGGAGGTGGCGGAGGGGGTGGCACTCTCATGCCTGGCAATGGGGGTGGCAGAGGAGGGGGTGGCACTCCCATGCCTGGTAATGGGGGTGGTGGCGGAGGAGGTGGCACTATCCCTGGCAAAAAGGAAGTAACTGGTCCTGGCAACGGTGGAGGAGGTGGAATTCCAGTTACAGGAAAAAGTGGTAGAGATGAGATCTCGGTAGGTAGTCCAGCAGTAGGCAAAGTTGGCATGGAAGGAGGAGATAAAGTAGGGGTAGATGGCATCCCGTCCATTCCTGTCAGACATGATGGGGAAGTAGTCCTTTTGGTGGGGAATGATGGAGCAGAGGTTGGTACTATGTCAGATGAGGACCCTAAATATCCTGAGGCAGAGAGGGATGAGGGAGGCGACACTGATGAAGATAAAAATGGGCCACCTGCCCCAGGCAGGGAAATTCCAGTGTCAGTAGATAGAGGACCAGAAATAATGGGAGAAGATAAAGATGAGGAATGTTCATTCCATGCTACAGTCTCTGTACTCGAGGGAAGATGGGGAGCTGATGGCACAGATTCCCCTTGAAATAAACATGAAGTTTGTGGCATTGTCAATTGTTCCTGGGAAGCATCCAGCTGTACTGAAATCCGTTTTGGTGACAGAACTAAAGCTATTTCAGAGCAAAAAGTGGATTGTGGCTCAAGTGTTGGCAATGGCTGGGTTGGCCCTTGACCTGGATCCCCATTGAGGTGGGGAGGTGCTTGTGGCAGTGCACTGTCTGAAGGCATTATGTGTGTTAAACAATCATCTGTTGGAGATGTCTGCACAGATGTTGCAGTTATAGTTTTAACTAGAGCACACAATTCATGTTCTTGAAGAGCTATGTTAGGTAGTCCTTCATGAGTTGGCTGTTCAGTCTCATTCCACACACTTCTGCTTGAAACCAACACCTCTGTTTCTGGAAACTGTTTCTCCAGCTCTGCAATTTTTGTTTTTAAATCCTGTATGGTTTGCTCCAGCCGCTGAATTTCATTTGCCCGCATTTCTGATTTCACTGTAACATTTTCCTAGAAAACAGGAAAGAAGAGTCAACATGCAGGAAGAAAATAAGATCTTTATATAAGACTTTTGCCTGATGCATACCGAGACTAACCATATAAAGATAATATATAGCCTATGAATATTTTAACACATATAAAAGCCTTAATACTATTAAATGCTCAGAATGGTTATATTTCACACTTTTATTTTAAAGATTTAGTCATATGCAACCTATAACATATAGTATAGATATATTATAGATAATATAAGAGAACTTTTTTATTTTTCTTTAAAAAAAAAACACAAATATGTCAT